ATCTTTTTGACTCAAACGTATTTGGGGCTACTTCCCTTAGGCAAAAAAAAAATTCTACTTATGGCTCTGCCATTACCCATAACTACATCAATAATACAGAACTCTGAAATTCTGTTCTCTAATCATAATCTCTTATAACTTTCCTTTACCTCTTCCTGTTCATAGTCCATCATCACTCTTCCTCCAACTTCGCTCTTTACCATACTCTCTACTTTTCATCATTTCAACCGTATATTTGAACAATTAGTCTCTATATCGTTTCCTTACCTTGAATCTCTTTCCCTCTCATCCTATCACCACTCGTGCCCCGACAAACACCAACCTAGTGTTATCCCAGTGACCTTCTGGATATTACTCCACTCTGCTAAATATTGCTGGAGAAAGTCATGTAATCATGTCAATTAGGTCCACTAAAAATTGATACTATCTCACCTCATTTGGAACCTCACTGCTACATGGAAATCCTTTTGGTCTTCCCTGATTGACTACTACACTCCCCAAAGTAATTGTTCCAAACTTTGACAAGCCAAATCCCCACATCACCATCCCTTCATCCCAACAGAGAACCTTCTCTAAAAAAACTGAAGCCACCCAATGTTCCCTTCTTCACCTCTCGTGTCTTCTACATTCATTCTCTGCTCTTTGCCCCCAATCTCTCAGAGAAGACCCTTCTTTTCCCAAGGCTAACCCTTTGCTTTTGTTCTTGATTCAATTCTCCTTTCTTCTCCAGGAGTTTGACCCTTTATTCATTCCTTCTCTTTCATCTTAAATTTCTCCTTCTATATCAGCTTTATTTCTAATGTCTACAAATCTATCCAAGTTACCCCATCCTTTTAAAAAAATCTTCATTTGAAAAAAAATCTTCATTTGATCCAACTATTTCAAGTTATCATCCTATAGATCTTCTCCTTTCATAGTCAAACTCCTAGAAGGAATTATCTACACTTACTACGCATACTTTCTCATGAACCACTCACTTCTCAACTCCCTTTCATCTATCCTCTGACCACATAATTGCAATGTTGCAAATAATCTCTTACCTGCTAAATCCAATAGCTTTTCTCAATCTTCATCCTACCTAACCTCTCAGTTTTTGATACTATCAAACACTCCCTCCTCCTTTTATGGATATTTTATTTTCCTCCACTCTCTTCTGATTCTTCTTCTACCAACTGATCTACACCACAGTATCTTTTGCTAGATCATAATTAATCCCCCACCCCCTAAGTGTGGATGTCCCCAAAGGCTCTGTCATGGGCCCCATATATCTTCTCTCTACAGTCTCAGTGATCTCATTTTTTCTCAAGGGTTCAGTTATTACCTCTATGCAGATAATAACTCCAAAAATCTACATATTTGACCCTGATCTTTGTCTTGAACTCTGGTCCCACATTCTCATCTACCTATTAGACATCTCCACCTGGAGGTTGCCTCCATGTCTCAAACTCAGTATGTCTAAAACCAAGCTCATTATCTTCCTCTCCCCCTTTAAAAAAGGCCCTCTTGGGCCTCCAAACTTCCCTATTTATGTTGAAGGCACCATGATCCTCCAGTCACCCAGGTTCACAACATCAGCATCCTTGATTCTTTCCTCTCCCTCCTTTTGCCAGGTTCTATGGGCTGCATCTACACAACATCTGACACCCATCCCTTTTCTCTCTATTGAAACAGCCATTACCCTAACTCAAGCCCTCAATATCTCTTGTCTGGTCCATTACAGTAGCCTTCTAATTACTTCTCTCTGCTCTCTCTCTTTCCAAATCATCTTCTACATAGAAGCCCAAATAAGCTTCGTAAGAAACAAGCCCATGTCTCTCCACTACTCATAAACCTTCACTAACTCCCCATTGCCTCTAGAATAAACATAAAATGCCTCAGTCTGCTATTTAAATCCCTCCACAATATGGAAGTACACCTACCTTTACATATATTTCATATTACTTCATTGATATTCAAACTCTACAGGCAAACTGGTGAGCCGTTTCCTGAGCTCAACACTCCATTTCCTATGTCAATACTTTAATGAAGGCTAGAATATACTCCTTCATTTTCAGACTGTAGAATCTTTAGCTTGCTTTCTTCAAGGTTCAGCTGAGATAACACCTTCTAAGCAAAACCTTACCTGATTCTTCCAGTTGTCAGTGTTCCCTTCCCTCTCAAATTGTCTTGTATCTGAATATGTCATATTTCCACTCTAAAATGTAAGCTCCCTGAGGGGAGGGACTGTTTCATTTTTGGTTTTGCATCCCTATCAGCTAATATAGTGCCTTGCACATTCTAGATACTTAGGAAGTGTTTGTTGAATTGAATTAAATTTCTATTTGTTTCTGTATCTCAATGTCTCTGTCTGTCTCCATATTTGTGTGTCTATGTCTTAATATCTGTACTTGTCTTTGTGCCTCTGTGCCTGACTTTTTGTCTCTCTGTTTCTATGCTGCTGTCTTCTGTTACAATTTAATTTGATTCAACAAACATCCACCATGTGCAATATACTGTAGTTAATGGTAGGGATAAAATGACAAAAAAGTTAAACAGATGTCACCTTCAGGGACAAATAATCAAATCTAAACTCATCTGAGAAAGGGAATAAGCATTTCCGAGGTGCCTAAGTAGGCATTGTGCTAAGCACCTTACAAATGTTACCTCATCTAGCTTTGTTTTTCAGGTGAGAAAACTAAGGCAAACAGGAGTTAAATAATTTGTCCAGAGTCACATAGCTAGGAAGTGTCAGAGGCTTGATCTGAACTCAGGTCTTCATGACTTCAGGCCCAGTACTCTTCTCCTTGTGCCAACTAGCTACCCTCACTTTCCTCTAGAAAGAGACTACACCAACAATTGGGAGGACCAGAAAAGGCTTTGCTTACAAGATGGAATCCCAATGGAACCTTGAAGAGAAATAAGGATTCTATGAACAGGCAGTGAGGAAGGAGAGCATTCTAGGCATGGAGTTCAGCCCATGCAAAGGTTCAGATATTAGAAATGAAATGTCAAGTTCAAGGAGCAACAAGTAGTTCAGTTTTGTTAAGATAGAAAATGTATAAAGGGGAGTAGTATGAAATAAACCTGAAAAAGTAAGTTGAATATAGATTATGGAAAGTTTTAAATGCTAGGCTGAGGATATATATTTTACCCTAGAGATAATAGGAAGCCACTCAAGATTTTTGAGAAAGGGAAAGGTATAGTCAGATCTATGTTTTAGAAATATTAATTTAGTAACTATATGGAGGATGAATTAGAGAGGGGGAAAGATTAGAAGCAGGGACTAGCCTACTAGCTGTTCCTTGAACCTGATATTTCATCTCTCATGTGTAAGCCTTTGAAGAGTCTCATGCCTAGAGTCCACTCTTTTCTCACCTATACTTCTCAGAATCTGTATTGTCTTTCATTGGTCACCTTGGGTGCCACCTCCTGCATTTAGCCTTTCCTGATCCACACAGTTGTTAATATTTTCTCCTTCCTCAACTTTTCTTATATTTATTTATGTGTGCACATATCATTTTTCCCAAAACAATATAAGCTTCTTGAAGGTCTTTGTTAGCTCAGTGTCTATCACAGTGCCTTGAACTGAGTAGGTATCTAGCTTATTGAGTCTTGTTGAGTTGCCCAATGTCACAAAATGTCACAAATTAAGTGACAAAAAATGGGTACTAGAACCCAGCTCTTGACTCCCAATTCAGTGCTTTCATATAAGTACAAATCTTATTTCAATATTTGAAGGATTGAATATTTCATCCCTTTTGGTACTCCCTCCACCTGACACTCTAAGCTTAACAAACTGTCTTTATGAATTGCAAGGAATGAAAAAAAAATCTTCACCTGTTGGTCACCTTTCACCCCTCCCCTTCTCCCCAATGGTGACAAGCCTCTCCAAAGTTAACAAGGTTACCCCTCCAGTGAGAGACTTCCAATGTGCCACCAGGCCTAAACTTGAAATTTTTCTGACTTAGCAGGACTTATCAAAGCATGCATACACTGACATAGACTATGAAAACCCAGAGTTTCCTTCAAGCTACATGATAAACCATCAGAAATCTTTAGAAATACACATAATACATGTACTCTTAAATATGCATAATATACATACAAATAAAATATTTACACTCAAAAATGCACATAGATTCCAAGCACATCCACAGTACATCTGAACATACACTACAATACAAATACACACACACACACACACACACACACACACACACACACACGGAGGGAGGGAGGGAGAAAGAGAGAATGAGAGAGAGGGAGAGAGAGAGAGAGAGAATAGATACTTAGAAATACACATATACAAACACAGGTTCATTCATACATTCACACACATGCATGAATACAGCAGCACAGACACATAAGTAAACATGACTACTTTGCAGGATACACATACTACCTTTTTTTCCAGGATTCTCCACTGCTCCCTCCGGAGCTGTGAGAGGCTGCTTTTTTTTTTTT